CCCTTCACTGATACAATCCCTCACTCTTCCATCAAGAATTCCATGACCTGGCAGGGAGGAAGAGGAGGAGATGAGGCAGAAACACAACTGGGGGCTGGAAGAGCCCGTGGAGCTTTTATGGAAAGAGGGATCTGTAGAAGGAGCTCCCGGTGCTCTCAGGCGCTCCCTGGGGCTGTGCTGAGGGCAGGGAGCTCCCGCTGCAGCTGGGGGAGCACAATTCCCAAAATGTGATCCACAGGGAACTAAGGGATGGGACAGGACAGGAGAAAACAGCCTCAGGTTCACCAGGGGGAGTTGAGATTGGATATGAGGGAAAATTCCTTCCTGGAAAGGGCTGTGCAGCCCTGGCACGGCTGCCCAGGGCAGTGCTGGAGCCCCCATCCCTGCAGGGATTCAATCCACACCCTGTGGATGTGGCACTTGGGGACATGGGGCAGGGTGGCCTTGGCAGTGCTGGGGAAAGGCTGGACTCGATCTCGGAGGGCTTTTCCAAGCTCGGTGATTCCATGATTCCGTGACAGGGTACCTGCCATCCGTGCCCATGGACACAAGGGACATAATGCCCACGCATAGCACTGCTTGGATTAACTGAACCCACAGCAGCAGGAATTCCCCATGGAAAGGGTGGGCAGGGATTGGAAGTGCCCAGGGAGGTTTGGAGTGCCCATCCCTGGAGGTGTCCCAGCAATTCCTGGGGGTGGCACTCAGAGCTCTGGGATGGGCACAGGGTGGGCATCGGGCACAGCTGGGACTCGGTGGCCTGGGGGGGATTTTCCAGCCTCAGGGACTCTGGAATTGTGTGAGTGCCCCTCGGGAAGGGGTTTGGGGGGCTCGGGAGGTCAGGGCAGCATGGGGGGCTGGAGTGGCTTGTGCCATTCCTGTGCCCGTCCCTGTGCCATCCAACAGTGACACCCAGAGCCTGTCCCCGTGCGATCCATGGGTGACATCCAATGGGATCTATCGGTGACATCCAGCGCGGTCAGACAGTGACACCCAGAGCCTGTCCCTGTGCCATGCAACAGTGACACCCAGAGCCTGTCCCCGTGCCAAACATCAGTGACATCCATCGGGATCCAGCAGTGACATCCAGCGCGTTTGGACAGTGACATCCAGCATGGTCAGACAGTGACATCGAGCGCCCGTCCCTGTGTGATCCAGCAGTGACATCCATTGCGGTGGGACAGTGACATCCCTCGTGATCCAGCAGTGACATCCCTCGTGATCCAGCAGTGACATCCCTCGGGATACTTCGGTGACATCCATCGCGGTGGGACAGTGACATCCATCGGGATCCAGCGGTGACATCCATCGCGGTAGGACAGTGACATGGAGCTCCTGTCCCTGTGTGATCCAGCAGTGACATCGAGCCCCGCCGGTAATTCCAAGGACAAAGCGGCGTTTCCTGTCCCCGAGCTCAGTCTGTGACAGCGGCTCCAGGGAACGCTCGCTCCGGCCCCGCTCCTCCCCGAGCGCCGGCACTGAGCGGGCAGGGCACGGGCTCGGAGCAGCCTCAGCCCAGCCCGGTGCTGCGGGGCCGGGACACCGGTACCGGTACTGCTGGATCATCCCGGTACCGGCACTGCTGGATCATCACCGGTACCGGCACTGCCGGATCATCCCGGTACCGGCACCGCTACTGCCGGATCATCCTGGTACCGGCACTGCTGGATCATCACCGGTACTGCCGGATCATCCCCGGTACCGGCACCACCCGGGATCATCACCGGCGCCGCCTGGATCATCCCGGTACCGGCACCGGCACCACCCGCATCATCCTGGTACCGGCACGGGCACCGGCACCGCCCGGATCATCTCGGTACCAGCACCGGCATCGGCACCGTCCTCATCCCCGGCACCCCTCGGATCCTCCCCCGCACCGCCGGGATCATCTCCGGTACCGGCACCGGCACCGGCACCGGCAGCCCAGGGATCATCCCCGGTAAAGGCACCGTCCTCAGTCCCGGTCCCGGCACCGCCCGGGCCGAGCAGCGCCCGGGAACAGCTCCAGGCTCTGCCCCGTTTCCTTCCTCTGGGGATGGAGGAGCTGAAATCCCTTCTGGGAGAGCTGGGAATGTTCCCCTGGAGAGGAGAAGGATCCAGGGAGAGCTGAGGGCACCTAAAGGGGCTCCAGGAGAGCTGGAGAGGGACTGGGGACAAGGGATGGAGGGACAGGACCCAGGGAATGGCTCCCAGTGCCAGAGGGCAGGGATGGATGGGATGTTGGGAATTGGGAATTCCTGGCTGGGCTGGAATTGCCAGATTTGCTGTGGCTGCCCCTGGATCCCTGGCAGTGCCCAAGGCCAGGTTGGACATTGGGACAGTGGCAGGTGTCCCTGTCAGGTTTTCCTGGAGATTTCTGTTCTCCAGGCTGAACAATCCCAATTCTCCCAGCCCATTTCCCAGAGCAGTAACAAGTGTTGAAATCTCAGTGCTCTGATCCTGTGTGTGCTGGAGCTTGTCCAAGTGCATCAATAACAAATGAAAGAAGTGTGGGGGTAAAACCCAGGATCTGATAATAAAAAAAAAAAAATGGAAAAGTGGGGGATAAGGGGCAGCAGCCATGGAATGAGGATATTCCATGAGAGGTGGGAAATCCAGGATTTCCCAGGCTGGTTTCATTAAATAGCTCCACATCTCCCTGCAATCACATCAATGCTTAGAGAGCACAGGAACAACACCCTGGGAACTGCCAGAGAATCCCAACACGGCTCAGCTCCCTCCCTGTGCAACTCAAAGGCCACTTTTGTAGACAAAACAACACCAGGATGTTGCTCTTTAGAAAAAAAAAAAAAAAAAAAAAAAAAAACAAAAAAAACAAAAAAAAAAAAAAAAAAAAAAAATTAAAAAAAAAAAATTACAGGTAAACCCACAAAACTGCAGGGATCAGGTGCAAAAGCCTGGCCAAGCCTGAGTACAAAATTCCCTGTACAATTATTAAATCCTGCTAAAAGTCTGAGTTTTCCTTGGGTTTAAAACACAACACATCACAAAAGGCAAACATAAAAATAGGAATTATCATGCAGTTCTTTGTGTTTCAGGTCCATGGAAAGAACTGAAGGCAATTTGGGATATTTTGCATTGTTCCATACAGTGAGTGGGGATTTACAGATGGGAAGTTCACTGAAACGAAGTTATCCTCCAGAAATAATATTTGTAACATGGACAAAAATTCCAACAGTTTCTGAAAGGAAAGCATTTCTAGGAGGAGAGACTGGCAAGCAGCATGCAGATTATTACCTTTCAAAAAGCAGAAATTCTGAGCTGTATGGACACCAATAAACTCATTTAAATCATGGTAAAGTGCAATTTGAGAGAAAAGGAACTGGAAAATTGGGAATTTCGACACCTTAGCTGCAGTTCCTTGGTTTCCCAGCTCCCAGGCAGACATTCCCATGGGATTGCTGAGTTTTCTCACAGTTTTATCCTGGTTGTTGTGTCTGGTGTCCCTGAGCACCAGGACAGGAATGGGGGTGAGTGGATTTAAGGGACAGATCCCAAAGCTGATCCATCTCCAGGTAAGGAGTTCATCAATAACAGCAGCAAAATTCTTTAGGCATTGCTGTGGAATAAAAAAAAAAAAGTTTCTGCTGCTCTCTCCAGTGAGGCAATGTCACATTCACAGCACAGGGGAAATCTGGGCCATCATTCACCTCCTCTGACCCCATTCCAGTGGAAGAATTCCCCATGGAAAGGGGTGGAACAGGGGGGGGTCTTTAAAGCCCCTTTAACCCCAAACCATTCTGGGGTTTAATATTCCCACTGCCTGGGGAAAGGGAATAAAACTTTTTGCAATTTTCAGTGCTTTGACTTCCATGAATTAAAGATGTTGATATAAATAATCACCATAATATGGATTTTTTTTTTGTTGCTCTGATTTATGTTTTTTTTAAATGATATTTTTGTTGTTTATGGATTTCTTTGTTGTGATTCATTCCTGGCAGTGCCCAAGGCCAGGTTGGACATTGGGACAGTGGGAGGTGTCCCTGCCATGGCAGGGGTGGCTCTGGGGGGGATTTGAGGTCCTTTCCAACCCAAACCATTCCATGATCCCACAATTCCTTCTCCTCCCCACACTCAAAGAGGCACCTACAGCCACAGAGCCCCTCCTGTCCTGCCAACAGATGCCCTGGAATAATTAAATCATAATAATCAAATAATTAAATGTCCCTGGAATGAGTCCCTGTGGGGCAAATTAACAATTCCAGCGTTTTCAATGCAGTTTCTCTTCTTTAAATTTAAAGTCCTGCTCAGTTGCACCAAATCTGAAGGAGACCTGCAGGATTTTATGGTCTGTGCAATCACCTGGGATATCTAAATGATGTTTTATGGTGACAACTCCCTCCTGGACTGGTGAAATCCCAGTGCCTGGAATGAAAGAGCTGGAGCAGCCCTGCAACCACCTCTGCAGGAATTCAGGATTAATCCAGAGCACTCAACCCTCCCCATTTAGCAAAATCATAAAGAAATGGCTTTTAAAGCAAGTACTTCAAATATTATTGCACCTTTCAAAAGAGCACTGTGTGGGCTTGGAAAACAAGCACCAAACATGTTAAAATAAAGGGAAAGGAAACTCTGGAGGCAAAAAAACCATCCTTAGTGCCAGGCCTGGCAAAGGGCAGAGAGCACAGAAATTTAAGGTAATTGAGATCAGAAGACAGCCCAAAACGTGCTAAATTAGTTAAATTCCATTTAAATGATGGTTCTAAGGCACAGCATCACCTTCTCTCTGTGTGGCCCAGCTGTCACCGAGCTCAGGGCTGTCTGGTTAAGCCTGGGGGGACTGGGGCTAAGCCAGGGGCTGCCCCTCAGCAGGACACACGTTTGGGATGAGCCCTCCCTGAACTCCCTGCACTGCTGTGAAAGGCAGAACTGCCTCAAGAACCCGAGCTGGGCTCTCCCTGTTTGTTAGAATGGCAAAAGCCAAAGTCAATGTGAAAAATACCCACGAGGGAGCTGCAGGGGCACGGGGGGATGGAGCAAAGAAGAAACCAAACCAGTGGAACAATCCAAACATGCTTTATGCACTGAAAACAGAACAGCCTCGGGGGAAGCCCTACGTTTAGCACCATTGTGAGATGGGAACACTCGGGGAAAGCAATCACACAATCCTTGAAAAAAAGGGGGAAAACAGACAGGGGAGAAGGATGGGATGGGCTGGCTTGGAGGTTTGATTGGGTACCATGCTGGGAGTGCTGCTGCTGTGATTTGTCCTCGCATTCCAACTGAAAACACACAGCAGGATGAAGTCAGTTCATCTAGCACTGGTTTCTCCACATGAAGAAAACAGAAGGGAAAAGTTAAAAATGCAAATTCTCTCCATCAGATCCAAAAAAACGTCCCGAGCAGGCAATAAATTCGCCTTGTAAATGTGTCCAAGGATCATCCCAGCCCTCCTAACAGGAAGCAGGTGACAAAGGAGAGTACAGGCAACATCCTATGGCATTTATTATGTACAAACCTTGAGATACAGAAACAAGGCAGCCCTTGAGTTACTGGTCATAAAAAACCCCACGTGCAGACACGGGCAGGGGCCAGCACCCCTGCACTCAGCCCTGCACTCAGCCAGCTCCCCCCAGCACGGGGAGCTCCACACTCCGGAGGAGGAAGAGACAAAAGCTCTAGGAAGGGTCGGATGGACAAATTCCCACCTGGATCCCAGCTCTCTCCCAAAGCCACTGCCACCAGCAGGGTGCCAAAGGCAGCGGGACACGCTCAGCTCCCCGCCCTCTGCCACGGCGGGGACAAAGGATAGCGGGGCAGGAGCGGCTCCCTCCTCGCTCCCGTGCCAGGCTGAGCTCCGGGCTCAGCTCCGGGCTCAGCTCGGGCTCAGCAGGGTCAGCTCAGGCCGCCCGAGCTGTGGCTGTGAGCGCTCAGCATCCTCAGAGCGCCGTGAGGCCGAAGTTGCAGCGGCAGTAAAGCATCCCCGCCGAGTCCAGCCACGAGTCCGAGATGGGCTCGTACCTCTGCACCGTGTTCAGGTAGGACGAGCCCGAGTGTCCCCCCACCACGTAGAGCTGGTTGTCGATCACGGCCGCGCCCACGCCTGCCGAGAAAGGACTCGAATCAAACCCTGAGTGCTTCGGTCCCGACCGGAGCCACCCCCTGCCACCCAGAGTCCAAAGAAACGGGGTGGCAATGGGGTCTGACACCCCTCCTGTGCTGTTCTCACCCCCTTTCCTATGAGGAAACAACCTCCCTCTGTCCCAGTGCCCCCTGGCAGGGAGACTGGGATAGAATCCTGGAATATCCTGAGCTGGAGAGACCCCCAGGGATCATCCCAGCCCCTGTCCCTGCACAGACCCCCCAACAATCCCACCCTGGCATCCCTGGTGTCCAAACTCTCCTGGAGCTCTGGAATTCCCTGGGGGGCCTGGGCAGTGCCAGCACCCTCTGGGGGAGGGAAGAACCTTTCCCAAAATCCAACCCAAATCCCTCCTGGCCCAGCTCCAGCCCTTCCCTGGGTGCTGTCCCTGTCCCAGAGATGGGAGCTGCCCCACAGCCCAGCACCCCTGAGTGTCCACACCCAGAGCAGTGAGTACAGACCTGCTGAAACTCATCACTGCTCAAATCACCGAAAAAACACGACGTGGAGTAGAATTACTACTCCCCGTAATTTTTGTCACAGCTCAGCATTAATCAACTGAACTTGGAGAAACCAAGAACCTTTCACAGAGCTGGTGAAGTGACCCTCACCCCCAGCTGGAGTCCCTGCCCCTCTCTCTCCCTGCAGCTTTTCCCAGCTCAGGGGTCATTCCTGCCATGTCCCACCTGTCCTGGGCTCCTTCATGGGCCGGCACACCGTCCACTGGTTCTGGTGGGGGTCGTACCTCTCGATGCTCGACAGGTGGGACACCCCATTGTGTCCCCCCACCACGAAGATGAAGCCCAGCATGACCCCCACCCCAAAGTTTATCCTTTTGTCAGCCATGGAGGCCACGGTCTCCCAGGAGTTCTTGCTCGGATCGTAGCGCTCCATGCTGGAAAGAAAACACAGCAGTGAGATCTGGGAATGGATCCCTGGA